ATTTCTATAACGAAATTTTTCCTTTGCAATAGAACGGAAAGGTTTAAATGAATAGATAATCTAAAGAAAATGTATATACAGAGTGGTCCATTTTAATCGACAAACGGAAATATTTCGTCAGGTAAACCAGATCGCAAAAAATATTTCAAATAAAAGTTGTAGAGGTCAATGGGGGACATACACTGATGACCTTGACTTGACCTTGACCTCTATTTTCAAGGTTATTTGAAGGTCAACTTGCGTTTTTTAAACGGGAACTGTTATTTTTCATTACATTGTTTTTTCTACTAGTTAATTTGAACTTTTGTCTAAAACATTTTTTTTGTCTAATATTTTTTGAGATATTTGAGGAAAACTTGATAACCTTTTCAATATTTAACCTACGATATCTCGCTAATTATTTGTCGGAAAAAAAGTGTTACTAGACTTTTTTGCTTTATTTAGTCTCAAGAATATATTGTTACAATAGCACCCTGATTTTTGTTAATTTGATGATTTTGAAATTTCCAAAAATCAGTAAGTTAACAAAAGTCAAGGCGCTATTGTATTGTAGCTTACATCGAAAGTTTTCCAGAACCCTATAATTAAGTATCTTTTCATTAAGTACTTTTTAAGTTATAAGGCAATATCTAAAGCACGATACAGTCGGTCAAGGCAAGATCGAAAGTACGTGTCATTTTCAGCCTAAAATTAAAAAAACCAATTTTTTGAATTTTTGAACTTTCGATCCAATTTTGACTATGACAACCACGTTTCGACCCGAAGTATATGGCTATGCTCTATATCCCATTACTCAAGTATACCCATTACTCAAGTATACCCCATACGTACGTTAAAGAGCATCGATATTTTCTTGGCGAATGTAATATTTTGAGCTTTGTTACGAAATTTTTTAGTAGTCCTGTAATTATGGCTGATTATCCACCAAACGAAATAGTCGACATGATTCGTATTTTGGGTGAGGCTGGAAATAATTACAGCAGCAGAAAGGCTGTAAAAGTGTCTGAAAAGTATGCTGAAAGGTATCCTAACAGACGTCATCCGTGTAAAAAGGCAATAAGGAAATTCATCGAGAGGGCACAGCAGGGCAGTTTAAAAAGGATATGACAAAAATCTGGGTCAAGTGAGGCAAATTCATTGGTTGTCTTGAGTGCCGCTGTATTGAATTCAAATTTCCACCAGACAAATCGAGAGGCAACACGGCATATCGAAATAGACAGCAAATCGTATACTTAAAATAAATAGATTCCACCCCTACCATATCCATCTAACCCAGAAATTAGAACAGAAGGATTTCGAGCGACGCTTGCAATTTTGTAACTGGGCCTTAAATCAAATTTGAAGAAACCCACATTTTATCGCAAAGATGTTCTTTTCTGATGAAGCCACGTTCGGTAACAGAGAGGGCATTAATAGACATAATTATCATTATTACTCTGATCAAAATCCTTATTGGCAAAGGAGCCAAGAATTTCAAAGACAATGGTCTATTAACGTTTGGGCACATATTCTTGGAAATGACATCATAGGCCCATATTTTTTTGAACTTGAAGAATCTAAACGCGCAATATTATTTAGCATTTCTTCAGAATGATCTGACCAACCTTTTGCGACATGTCAATAATGACTTGCTCAACCGAATGTAGTCTCAGCAGGATGTAGCATCAGCTCACAGGTCACGAAATGTTACAAATTATTTAAATAATAGATTTAATAATAGATGGATTGGAATGGGTACTCGGACTCATGAATGAACCAAGTTCACTTGACTTAACCCCTCTTGATTTTTACTTTTGGGGATACGTAAAAGAAAATGTTTATGCGGAAGAGCCTACAGCGGGAAACATGAAGGAACGTATTCCAGAGACATGTATGAACATAAACGCAGATCTTTCAAAAAGTGCGGGATAATTCTCGCCGTAGGTTGGACATTTGTATCCAAGTAAATGGCGGTCTTTTCGGTAACCTACAATAATTGTACATGCCCCGATCTTGCCTTGACTGGCCGGATCGTGCTTTCGATCTTGCCTTGATTGGCCGGATTGTGCTTTCAATCTTGCATTGATCGACCGGATCGTACTTTCGATCTTACCTTAACCGGCCGGATCGTGCTTTCGATCTTGCCTTGACCAGCCGGATCATGCTTTTGATCTTGCCTTGACCGGCCGGATCGTGCTTTCGATCTTGCCTTGACCAGCCGGATCGTGCTTTCGATCTTACCTTATAACTTAAAAAGTACTTCACGAAAAGATACTTAATTATAGGTTTTTGGAAAGCTCTCGATGTAAGCTAGAAGAATGTGTAATGAAAAGTAGATAGTTCTATTTAAGAAATTAAAGATGACCTTCATGTGACCTTCAAGAAACTATTCATTGTCAAACTAATGGTATCATCTTATGCCCTCCTCAAAACCATACAACTTTTGTCTGAAACATTGTTTTCTACAATCAAAAATAAAAAAGTTATTTATGGTGGAACATTAAAATAGGACATCCTGTATATATCGTACAGATTTTCTATAAATCTCTTTACGTTTGAAATATTTTATTTTAATATCCAGGGTGTTTCAGAACTTTGGGACACGGGATCCGTAGGGACATTGAGCTAAGTGAGAGGAACAAAAAAGTCCTGTACCATAATGTGAAAATCGTAGTAGTTTTTTAGTAATAACTGCATAAAGTTTGGTGTTTTTCATGCCCATCGCGGTCTATAGACACGTCTATTAAGCTGGCACAGCCATTTCAGCACAATCGCATGGAACTAGCACAGAAATTTAGTGCTTTTTTGTTGCTAATTTGTTGCTCTATTCCCGATTTTGTTGTTCCAGCCATTTCGAAGAAAACAGTGGCTGTGCTAACTTAACATTAAAGTTAGCACAGCCATTCGAAAAAAAATAAAAATCGAAAAACGAATACATATTCTTAACCTACGATTTTGTTGCTAATTTGTTGCTTTATTCCTGATTTTGATGCGCCAGACATTGCGCCAAAAATCGGTATGTTAAAAATAGCCGGGGACCTATAGACGTGTGCTAGCTACAAGAGTAAACTACCCGGAAAAATGTTGCTCACCCAATTTCGGTCTTAATATGTTGTCTGATTTTGTTGCTCTTAAGATATCCCAGTTTCAAATTTGTTGCTCGCGGTATATGTTTAAACAATAACCGAGAACCTATAGGTGTGTGCTGGTTACAAAAGTAAACTGCTCGAAAAAATTTGTTGCTCGCCCAATTCCGGTCTTAATATGTTGTTTGATTTTGTTGCTCTTAAGATATCCCAGTTTCAAATTTGTTGCTCGCGGTATATGTTTAAACAATAGCCGAGGACTTATAGGTGTGTGCTGTACACGGTCCTCGGCTATTGTTTAAACATATACCGCGAGCAACAAATTTGAAACTGGGATATCTTAAGAGCAACAAAATCAAACAACATATTAAGACTAGAATTGGGTGAGTAACAAATTTTTTTCAAGTAGTTTACTCTTGTAGCCAGCACACACCTGTAGGTTCTCGGTTATTGTTTAAACATATACTGCGAGCAACAAATTTGAAACTAGGATATCTTAAGAGCAAGAAAATCAGACAACATATTAAGACCGGAATTAGGTGAGCAACAAATTCTTTTCGAGTAGTTTACTCTTATAACCAGCACATACCTATGGATTCTCGAGTATTGTTTAAACATATACCGCGAGCAACAAATTTGAAACTGGGATATCTTAAGAGCAACAAAATCATACAACATATTAAGGTCAGAATTGGGTGAGTAACAAATTTTTTTCAAGTAGTTTACTCTTGTAGCCAGTACACACTTGTAAGTCCTCGATTGTTGTTTAAACATATACCGCGAGCAACAAATTTGAAACTGGGATATCTTAAGAGCAATAATATCAGGCAACATACTGAGACCGAAATTGGGTGAGCAACAAATTTTTTTCGAGAAGTTTACTCTTGTAGCCAGCACACGTCTGTACCCCGGCTATTTTTAACACACCGATTTTTGGCGCAATGTCTGGCGCATCAAAATCAGGAATAAAGCAACAAATTAGCAACAAAATCGTAGGTTAAGAATATGTATTCGTTTTTCGATTTTTATTTTTTTTCGAATGGCTGTGCTAACTTTAATGTTAAGTTAGCACAGCCACTGTTTTCTTCGAAATGGCTGGAGCAACAAAATCGGGAATAGAGCAACAAATTAGCAACAAAATCGTAGTTTAAAATTATGTGTTCGTTTTTCGTTTTTTATTTTTTTTTTCGAGTGGCTGTGCTAATTTTAATGTTAAGCTAGTATAGCTACTATTTTCTTCGAAATGGCTGGAGTAACAAAATCGGGAATAGAGCAACAAATTAGCAACCAAAAAGCACTAAATTTCTGTGCTAGTCCCATGCGATTGTGCTGAAATGGCTGTGCCAGCTTAATAGACGTCCTATAGACGCTCCGCGGCAAGCTGTGTGCATAGGGGCTAAGCGATAACACATCTCACGCTGACTGTCGCGACGGCGTCTTGGCGCTTTGACGCCGCATGACGGTCAGCGCGAGCCACGTTATCGCTTAACCCCTACGCATACAGCTTCCGCGGAGCGTCTATAGGTCGCGCTGGGCGTGGAAAACGCCTAACTTTGCGCTATTATAATTAAAAAATTATTACGATTTTCACATTATGGCACAGGACTTTTTTATTCCTTTTACTTAACTCTATATCCCTACGGAGCCCGTGTGCCAAAGTTCTGAGACACCCTGTATATTATTATATATTTCTCTCAAATATGCTATCTTAACAATTTACCTCAGAAATAGATAGTTAAAAATAAATTTTTAGAAAATAAAATCATAGAACGATATAAACCAGCGCCTTGTGTTGGAACCATAAATTATACTGCGCAAATTCGGCAAAATTCGGCAATTTGAAATACATAATTTTGCAGCGAATACAAGTTGGTTTTTTACATGTGACCTCATTCATTATGAATTTATTTTCATCCTGTTTCTTTTCTTTCACAGATATGAGTGTTCAGCCGTAAATAATCATGGTCGTGCGACCGGCCACGCTCTAGTGCGTGTCCGACAAGCCGGTGCAACGGACGTGCTCGTCATACGAGCATTCCAAGATGCTACCGAGGAGATCGACCGCGCTATCAATAAAACTCTATTGAACCTTTTCAATAGTTCGGGTACTGTTCGGGTCGATCCGTTTCGCGCGGGACGGTTCCCGAATGCGATCAGCCGCGCTGCTGCTAGGCCCGCGGAAATCTTCGAGAGGACCCTCGTTAACATCCGGCGTATGGTGAACGCCGGTGCCACAGCGAACATCACTAACGAGTTTCGCTACGAGGAGATACTATCGTCTGAGCAGGTGGGATGACGAATCGACTGGGAAAGACAAAGTAAGATCTATGTCTGGCAACCTAAAAACGTCGTGTTTCAGGTGAAGGATATCGAGAGGATGTCTGGATGTACCGCTCACCGGCGTCGGCAGAACTGCAGCAACATGTGTTTTCACAACAAATACAGAACGATAGATGGTAGCTGCAATAATCTGCGCCATCCCACCTGGGGCTCGTCGCACACGGGATTCCGGAGGGTGCTGCAGCCTATCTATGAAAATGGCTTTTCAGCGCCAATCGGTTGGGAGAAAGGACGGCGATATTTCGGCTATCTGAAACCAGCCGCGCGCCTCGTATCGACCACACTCATCTCCACTCACGATATCACCTCGGACGACCAAATCACCCATATGGTAATGCAATGGGGCCAATTCATGGATCATGACCTCGATCATGCGCTGCCGTCGGTGTCGAGCGAGTCTTGGGATGGGATTGACTGCAAGAAATCCTGCGACAATGCTGCGCCATGCTTTCCGATGGAAGTGCCGCCGGGTGATCCTCGCGTCAACAACAGGAGATGCATCGACTTCGTGAGAACTAGTGCTGTGTGCGGCTCTGGCGCGACGAGCATTCTGTGGGGTAACTTGACGCCTCGCGAACAGTTGAATCAGCTCACTAGCTATCTGGATGCGTCGCAAGTCTACGGCTACGACGACGAACTGGCGCGCGATTTGCGCGATCTGACCACCGACCACGGACTGCTCCGCGAAGGTGCCATGATCCCCGGTCATAAGCCTCTGCTACCCTACATGTCCGGCCAGTTCGTGGACTGCCGCAGGAACCCATTGGAGAGCTCAATCAATTGTTTCGTGGCTGGTGATATCCGCGCAAACGAACAAGTTGGTCTGCTAGCTATGCACACCATATGGTTGCGCGAGCACAATCGCATAGCTCGCGCGCTACATGAAATGAATCCCCATTGGAATGGAGAGAAGCTCTATCAGGAGGCTAGGCGCATCGTCGGTGCCGAGATGCAGCACATCTCTTATCGGCACTGGCTACCACGTATCTTCGGCATCGAACTGGACGATCTCTTGCCGACCTACCGAGGCTACAATCCCAACTTAGACGCCAGCATATCCAACATCTTCGCCACTGCCGCTCTGCGCTTCGGTCATTCGCTGATTCAACCGCGTCTCGAGCGCTTAAACGCTTCTTTTCAACCGATTCCCCAAGGTGCTTTAAACCTGCGTGATGCCTTCTTCGCGCCCTGGCGTCTGGTAGAGGAAGGTGGTGTTGATCCGCTGCTCAGAGGCATGTTTGCCACTGCCGCGAAGCTTAAGTTGCCTGAACAGAATCTCAATGTGGAACTTACCGAGCAATTGTTCCGAACCGCTCACGCGGTCGCACTCGACCTCGCGGCTATGAACATTCAACGGGCACGGGATCACGGTATACCCAATTATCTGGAGTGGCGACATCATTGCAACATGTCGCACGTGGAATCCTTCGAAGACCTTGCCGGCGAGATCAGCAGTGGTAAAGTGCGTCAGAAGCTGCGGGAACTGTACGGTCACCCGGGTAATATAGACGTTTGGGTCGGCGGTATATTAGAGGATCAACTACCAGGTGCCAAGGTGGGTTCACTATTCCGGTGCTTGTTGCTCGAGCAGTTCCAACGCACCCGAGATGGCGACCGGTTCTGGTATGAAAACCCCAGTGTGTTCCGTGCCGAGCAGCTTGCACAAATCCAACAGGTCACGCTCGCCCGAATTCTATGCGATAACGGCGACAATATCGCTCGCGTGCAACCCAATGTGTTCCTGCTGCCGACAAATAGCAACAGCTACGTTAGCTGCGACGAGATTCCCAATGTGGATTTGAGCGCGTGGGCCGACTGCTGCGACAATTGTGAAGACAGCGGCACCGCCGTTCTCCGTGTACGCAGAGCCTCCGAGAAATATCTGGCTCCTACAAACGATGCGAAAAATATAATAGATTCGTTGACTTCTCACGACGAGAAGATGCAATACCTGCGTAGGATGTTCGAGGAAAGCGATAGAGAGATTAAAAGGTTGCAAAAGCATATTGAGATTTTGTCGCACACAATGGACGAATTGAAGTTGTTATTGCCAAAAGGTACTAAGACACGACAATAGGGAAACAAATTACGTGCTATGCTGGAATTATCGCTCTATTCGCCACAAGTAGTCCTGCTCGCTTTTTATTCGATATATTTTGTTTTCACTTCATTCACTTATAACTAAACTTAATATTTAAAAGTTTCTATACAGGGTGCTAAATTTCAAACGTAACAGGTAAAAAATCTCGAAAACTATGAAAGATATTAAAAAAAGCTAAAACACTTGTTCCATTACGAAGGGGAAAAAGAATGACATTATCAGTTTTTTATTTGGAGAGCATTTTCAAGGTCAGTTGAAGGTCAACTTAATTTTTAAAAAGATTTTTAAAATTTTTAAAAAAGAAAGCCAAATTTTGTTATTATATCTTCTTTTTCTACCAATTAATTTTAACAACTTTTGTCTGAAACATTTTTTTATTTGCCTAATATTTTTTAAAATATTTAAGGAAAACTTGGTAACTTTTTCAACATTTAACTTACGACATCTCGCTAACTATTCGTCGAAAAAAAATAGTATTAGACTTTTTTATTTTATTTATTATCAAGAATATATTACTATAATAGTGCCCTAACTTTTGTTAACTTATCGACCTTTGGGAATTTCAAAATTATTAAATTAACAAAAGTTAGGGCACTATTATAATAATATATTCTTGATAGTAAATAAAATAAAAAAGTCTAATACTATTTTTTTTTTCGACGAATAGTTAGCGAGATGTCGTGAGTTAAATGTTGAAAAAGTTACTAAGTTTTCCTTAAATATTTCAAAAAATATTAGGCAAATAAAAAATGTTTCAGACAAAAGTTGTTAAAATTAATTGGTAGAAAAAGAAGATATAATAAAAAATTTGGCTTTCTTTTTTAAAAATTAAGTTGACCTTCAACTGACTTTGAAAATGCTCCAAATAAAAAACTGATAATGTCATTCTCTTTCCCCTTCGTAATCATGGAATGTGTTTTAATTTTTTTTAATATCTTTCATAGTTTTCGAGATTTTTTAATGCGAAAGTTAAAAGGGGACACCTTGTATATAGAATCTACTTACAAGGAAAGTTAGGGAACGCGGAAATTCAAAAAATTTTGAGATTTTGTGTGGAAGTAAAATAGTCCATCCGTAATGCAAAACTATTTTTTGTTCGTGCGGAATTCCAGTGTGAGGGTGAAACTACCCTTCGAAGAAAAAAAAACCATTTTTATTTTTAGCGTATACCCAGACAGCACCGGACATCCAATGGATGTACGTTTCACGTCCAATTTATGTCCGTATGTCCGATTTATGTCCGTGGACATAAATTGGATGTAACAAGGATGTCCTTATTGGACATCGGACCTGTAGGACGTCCGATGTACGTCCATCGGACGTCCTATGTTCGAAGTTGTGACAAACGTACGCCCTATGGACGTCTTTTATCCAGTAAAAAAATGGACATATAACGGACATCCAATGGACATCCGTGTGCTGTCTGGGTATCTTTTAAAGTACGAGGCATATGCAAAAATGGTTTATATGAAAATTGTAATATATTTCATACTCTTTGTAACTGTGTATTCAGATTTTGCAAAATTGAAAGATTTTTTAAATCCCCTCCCCTCTCCTCATTACTTCCAAAATTTTTAAATTGTTCTTTGAAAATAAAGAGCAAAAATAAAGAGCATCGTATATTAAATTCATCCATACATAACAATGAAAACTGGAGGCGATTACATATTTCTTAGAGATAGAGATAATTATATAGAACTATCCCAGAAAGAAATGGGAAATTGAATAGACGTCATCGACGGCCAATCGATGTCGATTCGGTATCTATTCGTCTCTTATTTCTCCTTGAGATAGGCACCGCGCTGTAGGTAAGCGCTTTTGAATTACGTTGTACTCGATAACTGTGTCTGTGATCGAGTTGATATTTTCTCATACTACAAGATAAGAAGAACTTAATTCTAATAACATTGTAACATATTACATAAGATATAAACAAAAGCAGAAATTAATTTGCTTATGTAAAAATAGTAACGTGTGTGCCAAGGGATACGGATGATATAAGGATATAGTAATATGTATGTGCTTAATTTTCTTCACTTTATGTTACGTTCGAATAACTTTCGGAACAAAATTCAAGAGTGTGCGAAACTCTGACGATTTTCTCGATACACTTGTCCATTTTAAACGATGTATATTTAAATAAATTTTAAAAGCTAAGCGACGAGAAATAATTATGCGGCAATAATTGCAACTTCAACACATTATTTTTAGTTTGGAGATCAATTGCAAGATTTAACACCATGACAGTGTCAAAAATATCTTTGATAAAATTTGTATATAATCTGAAGCTATATATATACATCCAATGATTTTATCTATATCTCTTTCAAGGTGATACAAAAATCTAATTGTTAGCGTAACCTTTAGTTGTCTAGTAGTGACGCACATTTAATATTGATTAATTTTTGCAATATGGATGATGTATAATATATAATAATATATAATAACAGGCCTAATAATATATAATAACATATAATAATAATATACAATAACAGTATCACAGGCCTGTAATATATAATGTATAATGTATAATAACAGGCCTGCTCACAGTATGCGCTATCTTGCCGATTTCTAAGACAGCAATTCCTCTTACTTTATTTTGCATCTAGTCTCCTCACAATTAGAAAGGATTTTACGTTCTTCAGTATTCATATGCTGTTTCCTACTTATCCTTAAACATTAATTTATCGTTCCATCGTTATTTCAAAAGTTGTAGTAGGATGTATGAATTATCTAATATTGTGTGATTACTGATGTACATATAGCATATTACATATAGAACAGATAAGTAAACAATATTGAAATAATATTTTTTATAAGAGTACCATTCAAATCTTACCAAAATTATCTCACGTGCAATGTAAGTTTTTGTCAATATATAGAGAATGATATATCTTTATCTGCAGTATCCCTATTCCTTGGTACGAGGGTCTCGTACATGTTACTATTTTTACATCAGCAAATTAATCTCTGCGCTTGTTTATATCTTATGTAATATATTGCAATGTCATTAGAATTAAGTTCTTATCCTGCAGCATGGGAAAGTGTCAACTTCATAACAGACACATTTATCGAGTATAGCGTAATTCAAATGAAAATGGTTTTCTTCTTCGAAGGGTGATTTTACTTCTTCTGGAATTCCGCACGAACAAAAAATAGTTTTGCAATATAGATGAACTACTTTACTTCCACATAAAGTTTTAGAATTTTTTGAATTTCCGTGTTCCCTAATCTTCCTTATTAGTATAACTTAGGATGATTTCTGAGACTTTTGAATATAAAGTTTTATTTAAAAACTTAAACTAAATGGAAATTACCATAGGAATAGTGCTGTCAATGTGAAATGGCTGAATATATATAATATCTTTTGTAAAAATAACTTAGAATTATTATCAAATTGCAAACGTGCGACACTTGATGCACAGAACTATGTATGTCACTTGTGTTGCAGCGAAGTTGAACTTTTTATCATTAATATTTGCAGCAGCGACTCTACAAAAAATATACATGCTAAGATATCTAAATACCTATATAAATAAAATACATATATATATATATACATATATATATAATGTATGCTACTCTTTATTATGTACATATATATTGATATATCACATCCATATTTAGTAGCTCTGAACAGAAGAATTTGATATCTTATCAAAGAAGATATTTTGTATGTTGACCATGTGCAATGACATCTTTACTGTCATTCTTTCTGAGTTCCACTGCAAGGAATGCTATCTTCTTACCGGAACGTATAGTCTTAGCATCTACAGTTACTATGTCACCAGGAAATGCAGTCTTTACAAACCTGTGCCATTAATTGTTTTACATTAAAAACACATTTATATATACATATTTTTTTTATTAATAAAGATGTTTAAGTTATGATATTGTGTCATGTCCAATTTCTAGTCTTTAACTAATATATGTCATAATCATATACTATATATGTACTTATTTGTATGAAACAAATATATTCCACTTATCTAAAAAGTTATGTAAGAGAGTAATATTAATATATGAAGCAACATACTAGTATTCAAACTGTACATAACTGATTAAAATATATAACAGAATAAAGGGAAATAATAATGAGAAATGAATAAGATTCTTACATTATATGCAAATCTACTGATGTTGAAACTCTAAAAGTACCAGTACCATGAGTAGCCAATGCATATGAAGACACACAGTCTACAACAGTGCTTATGAAACCACCATGTAAAGTACCACCAATATTTAAATGCTCCTCAGCTACTGTAAACTGTGCTTTGCACTTCCCATCACCCGCTGAGAGTAACTGCACCTGCTCAAAAAGTTATTTGTAAATACAATATAGTATTTTTCAAATATATATGCATGGATGTTTCTCAAAAATAAAAATAGATCAAAATATAAGAGCATATTCTACTCATTAACTCACTAACTCCTGTAAGGATAAAGGTTATTTAAACATCCAAAACACTTCCTTTCACATATAATTAATATAATTATAAATATTTTTTTATTTATAAGAAACTTTGGTTAAAAATATTTCATTAAAGAAATTATTGGAAATTATTTCCTCTCACATCAATGCTTTGTATCGACATCTTATGGATTATTAGAGGTGTTATAAAATGCCCCGAGTATTTCGTATTTTGTCATATAAAAGCAATTATGTGATTTCAGAGTACTTCTACAGTAGTAATAGAAGTTTCGTAAACAAAAGTCTTAAGATGTCCTCATAAATAAAAATTTAAAAGGTTCAAATAGGGAGGTCATACAGACCAAATAATAGATCCTTCTTTACTAATCTATTGATGTAATTATTATTTAGAAATTTTCGTGCATATGAAATATGTTAAAGATATTCTTAATAAAAAGTATTTATAATTTAGAAAGGAATTTCTAGACCCATGTTTATATTATGACTTTTTCTCATTCTAACAGTGAATAAAATATATTTCTAGTTTGGCCACTTATTTTTTAAATACCCTATAATTTGTACTGAAACACTCATCTTGTATTTGACGATAAAAATAATCGTTAAAAGATAAATGACTGATAACAGGTAAAGAATTAAATAGATGACACTCACATTTTTCATGCACTGACCGAAATTTTTGGTTGTTATTACTTTCTGGTAGAGTTGCCTTGCAATTCCCGTAATAAGTGACATAACGGGCTGCGTTCCGATTCCTCACCCAGGTACACCCAGACACCCAAAGACCGTTCAGATTCCTTCCGAGTGCTCCTAGCAAGCTCCTAGGGGATACGTTCAGATTGTCCCTTCGTCCACTCATGTGGGTGTGTATGGGTGGAAACAGGGGGTTAAAACTCGCCTCTTGTGAGAAGGGGACACTATTTTCAACGCCGCCTGGAGCACCAGCTCGGAAGTAACGAACTAAGGAACGAGTGGTGGGGAGGTTGCCGCCATATTTAAATCATACCGCGCGCGCGTGGTACATACTTATAGATATTAAAATTAAATTTATAAGTTCCTGAGCGATATTGTAAAGTTTAAATGTTATTTACGTTACTTAAGACTACGTAAAAAATGTTTCACAAATTTAAAATAGTTTTCATTTGTAATCTTAAGTACAGTAAATAACAATTAAACTTAACAACATCGCTCAGAAACTTATCACTTTGTTATTAATTTGTGCAAACAATATTATTGGGAGGATTATAATATACAGGGTGCCTCATAACTAACCTGGCAGAGCTCGTGGAGACATAGAGCGGGTTAAGACAAATATAAAATATAAAAGTCCCATACCGTTTTATGAGATTCGCAATAATTATCGAGTTATTAATGACAGAAATTAGAGGAATGAGCGCGCACCGAGACGTTATGGGAGGAGCATCTAGCCGCTCAGGCTAGAGAGCACTGTCCAGTCGACAAAGGAACTGTTGCCGGCGCGCGGCGAGGGGAAGGACATTGGCGCATCTCCCTAATTTTTTAATAAAATAAATAAAATAATTGCCCTTTCGGAAGTTTATTATTTATCGCATCGGATTTTCTTGTCGTTTCGTGTCATTTCTTACTTTAGGAATTGTGAATTAACGATTGATTCTGTATGTTCTCCTTCGGTAAGTATCTTATTAAAAAATTAGGGAGATGCGTGAAATATTTAACTATAAAATGTTTTTTTGCACGATTCAACGACAAGAAACGTGTAAAGAAAGCGTCAATCAATCATACATTTATGCGTGTTAAAATAACACACTCGGATTTGCGTTGTATCGCGATTATACCTAGGAATCAATTTTATGCCGAGTATCGTTGGTGCACCATTGACAACGATGGTCCTCTTTTCGCAATTGTACGATACAGAACTTTCAGTTTCTTCTGTCGTTAATATACCACTGACAAGAATTACGATATAAGACAACAATTTATGCATGATATATGATAAAAATGTTTGGTCCATGATACAGCTTGCAAATGAAATATGAACGATACAGAGAAATATTAACTGAAAATATTAACACTGAGTCTAATTCATCAAGGTTTATGGTTAACTTAAACAAAATTGTGCTATTCTCAACCAAAATTTCTTAATCGTTCTCTCTCTCTGTCTCTCTCTCTCTCTCTCTCTCTCTCTCTCTCTCTCTCTTTCTCTCTCTTTCTCTCTCTTTCTCTCTCTCTCTCTCTCTCTCTCTCTCTCTCATTTCGTCAGAAAATTGGTTCATTCAACCAAACATATTTTCCGTGTAGACTTGAATAAAACGATAGGACACGATGAGTCTCTACGCGAATTCTATCATACTCTAACAATTAAATATTCTCCTAACGATAAAGTACAATAGAGTACGATGAAAAGTGTTCATCGTACTCTGTCTTTACGCGATATCATTTCTTTCGGATCCGATGCAGCAAAACGATAGATTGCGATAGAAAACAATGAGAATTTCTGTAGATTCTCATCGCTCTCTATCGCTTTCTCCTTTTCGATGTTTTCCTTGTTCAAAGAACTTTTGAACCTTAAACTTTATAATTCAATATGAGCTGTCTGTGGTACCTTATAAAATAATCTCGTAATTGTAATCGCGAATATTCAGCGGCCATTTCGGCGCGAGCATAGACGCGGTGCGGCGGGATGTAGGAGCGGCGAGGTAAGGACATAAACATTGGCGCGTTGTCCTTCCCCTCGCCGCGCGCCGGCAACAGTTCCTCTGTCGACTGGGCAGTGCTCTCTAGCCTGAGCGGCTAGATACTCCTCCCATAACGTCTCGGTGCGCGCTCATTCCTCTAATTTCTGTCATTAATAACTCGGTAATTATTGCGAATCTCACAAAACGGTATGGAACTTTTATATTTGTCTTAACCCGCTCTATGTTTCCACGAGCTCTGCCAGGTTAGTTATGAGACACCCTGTATATACGTTAATATAATATTATTAAAATATGTTATAATGCACATAAAGATATTTATCAATGTATACATTTGTACATTTAATTACATTAAAATAGAACATAATTACATATTATTTTTATTAATTTTTTGTTGCACAAAAATTAAAATATAACAAAATATATATAACAGGTAAATATAATAAGTAAACTATTTGAAAAAAGTAGTAAAATAATAATATAATGTTGAATCGTGTTACATGTATTGCTAAATTATAAATTATATATACAGGGTGTTTGATAGCTGATCATGCAGACGAAAGCTGGAGATAGATCGGGTGTAGCCGAGAAGAAAAGTCATGTACCATAATGTCAAATTGGCAATAGTTACCGAGTTATTAATTAAAACATGTGAGCTAACGAGCGCGTAGAGAGCGGAGGGTGACCGCAGTAAGTACGTAGACATTTGATACAGGCGGAGTCAGCGAGTGACGATAGGCGAGCGCGCGCGGCGAGGGGCAACGTAAACGACAAGAGGCGAGCGCGCG